GGGGGTCCGGTGCCTGTGAGCGCGGCGGGGGGAGCAGCCGCAGGGCTGCGTGCAGATAGTGAAGAAATAAACGGTCCTGCTGCCTGCGGGAAGGCTCCATGCCCTGGTTGGGAGGAGAGGCTTTTATGTGTCTGTTACTCTACAGTCCCCTTTGCCCAAAGAGCATCTTCCATTCTCAAGAGCCCGGAAGGGAGAATTTGCCCAGGCAGAGGGGCCAACAGTCTGTTACCGTATCCCTGGATATCCTAGAGTGAGTCCAGGGAGCTGGGATGGCCGTTGATCACAGTGGTGAAGTGCAGTATGGTATAGGAGAATTCCTGTGTGCTTGTGGGTGACTTGAACTTCCCTTTCTCAAAGTGTTGCAAGTTGGATTTAATGTTTCGGGAATGTCTTCTCATGAAACACTACATTATATAGTCTCTGACCTCAAAATACGTAAAATTCTCTAGCCAAGAAAACTATGCGTCCTTTCTCAGTCTTTTGTGTTCCTCATCAGAATCGAAACAGAACTGGAGAGGAAACGTCCATGTTTGCTCAAGAACCATTATCAGCTGCACTGACAAGGCTCTCCCCACTGTCTACAAAACTGGAAGCTGCCAGGCCCTCCACCTGATCCGCGAGAGGTATGCATCCAGCTTTACTGCCTTCTTTGAGTACCCAGGCACAGTGAGGAGGTTAAGCCCCTTGGATAGGAGCAGCACTTTTAAGGGGTAGAAAATTGGAGGTGAATTGTCTACGTGAGTGATACACGTGCCAGAATCTGAAAAGCTCTGCCCTAGTATGGACTGAACCTACATGAGTAGTTCCTGCCTACATGGCATTGAAGCAGTTGATTGTTCTTTCTAAAGAGACTTTCATGTTTATTTGCTGCTGTTCTGCATTTCCCCTGGAGCTACTGCTGTTTTCGCAGCTTTACATGAGGCTGTACAAAATGAGAAAACTTCTTTGTCCAGCCTACAAGTAGGACAAACCCTAGCTCTGCATGAACATGTTTTCTAGAAAACAATCTTTCCTTCTGAGCCATGGAAAGAGAATAAGGAGGAGCAGCAACTTCAGACTGAGAATACCATAATTAAAGATTTCATAATTGCCATTAGTGAGCGGAGAAAAATAAAGCAAGATGATGATTCTATCTATACAAAGCAGAGCCTATGATTTGCATATGGCTTTCTTATCTGTAAAAAGCGTAGGCAAAAGATACCATGTAGCTCAGAGACAGGAAACTCCAAGAACAGTTCTCGGGTGGGGAATGACAGTGGCTCCCCAAGGAAATGCTGCTCCCCCTGACACTTGGATGCTAGAGTGACTTACTGTAGAAGCCTCTGGGTTGCCCATTCCAGATCACCCAGCAGTTTGCACACTAATGTGGCTCTACTGCCAGTCATTTGATGTAACCTCGTGGTGAGAACAACAAATTGTGCTTAAACTGGGAATTGTTTGCTCTTTGCACTCTTGGGAGAACGCATAACCTTAATTTTTCTTTTGAAATTACAGAGGCTAGGCACTCTTTCAAGGAGAAAGAAACAATAAAAGGTTTCTTTTAAGTTATATGAAACAGACTATGATAGGCTTAAAAATAAAAGCAGTTAAGAGAAAATCAAGGTAAGACTTGTTATCTGCCTTGCCAAGCACAATACAACATACTGAGGCTTACAGAAATAGATAGAAAAAGCAAGGAAGCTGAGCTTCATTTATCCTTGTGAGAAAAGGAAAGGACATGGCTCTATGGTTTGTTTGAAACAGCTTGTCTGAAATAATGTTTCCTCATTATTCTGTTAGCAAGAAAGTGTCTTCTACATTTCTATTGAAAATGGCCAGAATTATATTTGTATCCATGTGTAAGACCCATCCATCTTGTAACTAGAGCCAAACATGGCTCAGATGCAGGAACTTCGTGCATAGACACTTGGAGAGCTTTTATCAGTTAAATTATTGAAATGACAAGAAATGAAGGCCAAATCCCTCAGTGGCTGTAAATGCTGTAATTCTCTTGAAGATAGGAAAGCAAGCAGAGCTATCCTGATTTATATAGTATCTGTGGATCTTGCCCTAAGATTAGAAGGAGTGTGCTTAAGAGATCATAAATCAGGTCCACTGCTTATATTTGTAGGCATCAGTGTGAATTCCGTGCAAAATATAAATCAGGAGCCATTCAGTGCAGCTGCCTTATTCCTGATCTGTGCATTGATGTTTAGCTGGTGGTTTTCGGAGGTCTAAGTGAGAAGAGAACCAAACTCTGTATCTGATAAAACTTTTTAATTGTTCTGTGTGGTAATCTTTGACTTCCAGTACGTTAACTCCTTAAAACTGTGAGGTCCATGGGCTATTTCTGAAGAGTCTGAAAAAGAGAACAAAGAAGGGCAAGCCTATTGTCAGACCTGCATTGACTGGACTTGCATGTGTTCTTCCATCAGAAAATATTCAGGAATCCAAAAAAAAAAAAAACCCACAAAACTACCAGTTGCATTTGACTTCTACAGGAGCCATTTAGGGCTCCATCCAGATTTTGTAAAGTTTTTTCATCCAGATTTTGTGAAGTCAAAACCAAGTTTTGCAAACAACTCCATGAGCAGCAGGGCGGCAGGCTGTGCTTCTTAACATGTTTTTTTCTTTTTTTTATTGTAGCCTTATTGCCAAGTCACATTAGTGTCTTTGCTGTTTAAGTGGTCCTTTGGTAACAAATAGATTTAAACCCAGAAAGATGTGTGGGAAAAGCAGTAAATAGGTCAGAGTAGGGCTGAGGAGTCTGATTTTTTTTCTCTGGCTTGGGTGTGATACAGATAATTGGCATAATCTGTTTATTGGTAAAACCCCAGTGCCTGAGACAGAGCTCAGTGATGGTCAGAAGGGAAATGGCAGAGTAGACTTGCATTTGTTTCAAAGAAAGACCCTTGCTGTCTGTTCAAATTTATGACAGTTTAGCTCCTCTTGCAGCCAGAACCCCTTCATTTAGCATGATAAATCTGAGCTCTCTTGCTATGTGGGAAGCAGACCCTGCTTGCTTACAGTTCTCAGGCAGCCAAATTTGCATGGGTGCTGTTGCAAGCGTATCATACTAGTGATGGTAGTAATTAGGACACTTATTCATCTATCAGATGAGCAGGAACCAGTTGTTTTCCACCTGAAAGAATGCTTGGAGGTTAGTTTCTTTTAATGGATGGTTATAGAGTTAGAACTTCTGCCAGAGTTTACTGCTGTAGATGGGCTGTGCTATGAAATTAAGAGTTCTTGGGACCGTTTCTTGGCACAGAGAAGAAGAGGCATGGAAAAGTCCACGTCCAGACTGATAGAGTTTTCTAAAACCCTTTTAGAAGGCTTGCTGCATGCAAAGTGCCCACTGGGAATGGCTCCTGGCCAACTTAACTCTTGAAATGTGCCCAAGAAGCTGCTTGTCCCAAGCTGTGCTCAGAACCTGAGCAGAGACTCTTTGAACAATTCGATGGTGCAGAGTATGAAGTCGCAGTGCCCAAGGACAGTACCCACTTTGACTTAATTTGCTGCTTGTTAAATGGTGGGGGGTGTCTACCCAGATCAATGTAATTTTCATTTCATAACATGGAAATAAGATTATTCAAGTTGAAAGAAAGGGTGAGTTTGTTGGCTTTCTTCCTAGTAGTAATCCAAAAATCTGAGCTAAGCAGAGGAAACCTCAGGCTTGAGACATTTCAAAATGCAATTCTTTGGCACATACTAGAGAGAAAGAAATATTCTATCCTCTGTCTTTCATTCTGAGGGGGAGCCAGATTTCTGATTTCAAATTATGTTTATAAAAAAGAAAATGCAGTCTCAGACTTTAGAAATATTTCCTTTGAAGAGTCAGATTGGGTTAACTATGTAACTTCATAGAACTACCTTGTGATGAAGTGCGTAAGACTGAAACTTTTTAAAAGTATTTCTATGACCAATCACCATAAAATAGTGTGTAAGAAACTGGATGACAGCACCATCACCTTCATCTTCTTATTCCATTAGCCCTTAAAGCACGTTCCAAAGGGGCAAAGACAAATGCCTTAGAATATCTGAATAAGCCATAGAGCAGCAGCTCCTAAACTTCTGAGGCACAGAGCAGTGCCAATTCTCTGGATTTCTAGCAAGAGTTCACCTAATGTTGGTGTTTGTAATCCAAAGTGCTGTTCAAATTGTGTGGGTGCAGCCCACTCAGCATTCCCTGGTGGGCCACCGCTGAGGCATACCTGGCAAACCATGGCTTATGCCATGCAGTACTGTCCCCCTCGAGTTATTTTCCCCACTAGCCTTTCTGTTTATACCTGCTGTGTAGCTCCCCTCAGATTTCCTAAGGAGGAAATTTACTATGAGCTCTTCATAAAACAGAGTAATTAGTGTAATGAGCTGGTGTCTGCTACATGCATTTTTCTCCTGAAAAGTCTGTAATAAACATCTAAGCAGCTTAACTGTTTATTTAAAATAGCATTTTTTTAACTAAATGTTGCATTTTTTAAATGTCCCTTATCTTCAAGATAATGGCCAAAACCTCTTTGACAGGTACTTCTCTCTTATTTGGTAAATAAGTTGGTTTATTAATGTCTCTTACTGTAAACTGTGTATTTGAAAGCAGCATCATAGGTGATAGTTCTAGCTGACTAGTAGTGACCAGATGAGAGGAGTCAAAATTTTCTGTGGTTGTACTGAATACTGTCACAGTCATTTTTTTTTATCAGCACATTAGACTTCTTGTCAATAAATCAGTTTTTGTCTCTTGTTGCTGTTGCCAGCCACACTGCATCTTTTTGTGTTCTATATTGTAATGTATTCTCATACTTCTGTTTTAAATCCAGGCAAGACCATGGCTAGAGAGGCAAATGCAGAAGACTTAGGTGCCTTACACCCCTGCTCTCAAGGAATCACGCTTACCCCACGACCTCAGCCTACACAAAGCAGAGCATCTGCATGTGCCAGCAGGCAGAATTCAGCTAAATCAGGTACGGGTTTCTACTGAGGTCTAAGTTTTCTTAGCCTTGGGACTTTAAATCAAAGTACCCTTTAAATCAATACCCTTTAATTGCTGAGAGGACTAGCTCTGCCTGCTTTGCAGGTAGCGTTGCCCCCTCAGTACTTTCTGTCCTCTTGTTTACTTTGAGGTCAGTGGTGCCCTTCAGCACAGCAAGCTGCCAGGGCCAAGGATCCTTTGTGCCATTTATGGTTTTCTGAGGCACATTTTGTCAAGTCTGTTGGGAGAAGGAACACCACATTCCCTGGGTCCTTTGGGCACTAACAAAATCAATCTTGTTCTGTTATGGAGAGAGGGTGGAGGTCTCTTACTTGACTCCTCTTCGTGTTACCATTCTGGTAGGGAAACAGGATCTTTATTTTCTTTCCTTCTTTGAAATCCATTGGATCGCGAGAGAGATTCATGCTTTGGACCTCTGCCTCACTCATATTCTTAAATCATTACAAGATAACTGTTGCCAATTATTAGACATTATCAGACTTGATATACATCTTATCCTTTAGGAAATCATTTGAAATGGCTATACACTTATCAAGGAAAGCAATTTTATTTTTTGGAATGGCAAGATTTATAGTTTGTTCCAATCAAGTATGAATTTGCTACTAGTCCCGAAGTGGACATTTTTCTCGCAAGTGACTCTAAATTATTATCATGCAAGGCATCCTCCATTGCAGTTCATGTCAATTTTCCTTCTCTCTTTGCCATGCAGTTTTAGATTTAGGGTCAGATTCATTGTAGGAGCAAGCTGTGATAGCTCTATTGATTTCACCAAGGCTGTATCCAGCTGTGAATTTGAATTTTGTCAGAATGGCTCAAAGTTAAAATGAAATGTACAAGGCAGCCATGATTTTATCTTTTCTTGTAAGAAAGGGATGAGGACAAGATAAAAGGTTGGTTCCTGTAAAACTGAAAAAAAAAGCTGTAAATAACAAAAAGTCACATTTTTCTATCTTCCTCCTTGTAAACAGAGCTTCCTTTAAAGGCAACTTCAGTTTGTTTGAGAGCAGCAACTGCATTTTGTTTGAGAGCAGATCCTAGACTAAAGTACAGAAAAAAACATAGTAGACTTTATCTTCAGATTTGTTTGTAAAATCCCCAGTGTGGTAGGTAATTAAATTAAATGCTCATAACTGTGGTTGAACCTGACTCATTATTAATCCAGAAGAAATATCAGGCCAAATCCTTTGGTCCTTGCTTAATTCTTATTCAGGTCTAATGAGCGCCAGAGTGTCTGAAGTAATACAAGGCATCCCTGTAAGCTACAGTGCCCTGTCAAGTCGTTTTGCTCTCTCTTCAGAGATGATCTCTCTACCCAAGGCTCAATAACTTAATAAAGTCTCGAACTTTTGCAAAGCAAAGAGATCCCATCTGTAGTCTGAAATGGGAAAGCTATTGTCAAAGAATGTGCCTATGTACTGTGACTTTAATTATTGTTTTAACTTTTGGCACATAATTGCATATTCCAAGTTCCTTTTTTGCTATAGTAGCAGGAAAAAAAAGGTGTTGGTGTCTTATTAAAATACAATTGTTTTCAATTATTTTTTTTCAAATTAATGGAAAAATAATAACCAGTTTGCTTGTATATCTCCAGAGATGAATTGGTTTATACTGAATTCTCAGAAAAATATGTGACTTCGCCAGGTTTAGGAGCATGTGATGACTGCCTAATATATTTTACAGCTGCATCTGTGAGCTCTGTCCCAGATCCCACATTATTCTCCCAGGACATTGGGCGTATCTTACTTCAAAAGACAGCTGAAAAAGAAGATGAACTGAAAAAAGCATTTCAAACTCTTGATGTTGGTCAGACCCTGACAGTCACAAAGGGTGAATTCAGGAGAGTGATTGAAACTTTTCTTTTCCCTCTAACACAAGCCGAATTTGATGCTATGCTGGCAGAGGTATGCTATGTCATTGCAGTTTATAATCATTTAGAGGCTGTTCTTATGGATGCCAAGAACAAAATTTCCACAGGTTTCAATGGGAGCAGGGTCCAAACCAGTATTATGAAAGATACTAAACACGATCACATCCTTATGTGAGTAGTTCAAACGAAAGCAGTAGAAAACTTGCAAAAGAAATGTGAACTGGTTCTGGCCACTGGTATTTTAGAAGAGGATTCTGTCTGTGTGGCTTGCCTCCCTAGTTGAAAGAGTTGCAATTTACTCATAAATTCTGTCATTAAAAAACAAAAGAAAACAAACAAAAAATTAATATACATTCAGTGTTACAAATGTGGGTAGATTAGGTTATAAACTCTGAATCAGAGACCAGGTGCTTTTCATTTGTACTGGGTGTTTCTCAGCTAACTTCTGATATTTGCCACTTTATAAACCATGGTCAAAGTGGACTTTAAGAAACATTGGGTGTTCACAAGATATTGTGAGTGACACTTACACACTGACACAAAACAGGGGAGGATTCTGAAGCACAGCCTGCACCAGAGTTACTGTGCAGTTAAATTTCTGCGTGGGAAGTGGAAGGGAGGTTAAGGTTTATGCTCTTAGGAAAGAGTATAAAATTTCTTTCTTATTAGAAAATAAATTTGATTGTTGAGTCTTGTGTGTTTAACATGGATGAGCTGGACTATTAAAGCTGCATTTTGAACTAATTGATTAGTTCAAACTCTAAACTCTATTTTAGCTAAGATTGTTGCTAAATTCCTTGCTAATACTAAATCATCAATATGGGGACTCATATACACTCAAAATACATTAAATATTCTTTTTGAACTACAGAAGTGTTGCCTGACATTGATGAGAATGACTGTACTTTCACAAATAGATGTAAAAGATCACAGAGTTAAACAAATGATAAATCTTTTTTTCTTACATGACGGAAAGACTTGTAGGCTTTAACTTCTCATTGAGGGATTTACCAGGTATTAAATTCATGCTCTGCTTAATTCTGGACAAGCTACTGATAAGAAATAATATATGATGCACAGAACAAAAGCAAGGTTATAAGATACATTTATTTTTGCTGTTTTATGAAAAGAAAAAAATAATAATGGAAATAGAAGTATTTAAAAATATTTATCATTGTTATAACTGCAGATCTTATCTATGTTCTTATCCATGTTCACTGAAATACAGATCCCAAATATCGGCAAAGTTACTGTGCCGTATCTTGACTTCCTGTCAAAGTTCACCGAAGTTGCCAAGAGTACCAGCATGCTAAAAGGGTAAGTGTTCAAGTAAGAGTAAGTGTACTCAAATTGCTCCTAAATTATGGTCATGCATCATTTGCCAGTTGTCTAGCTTTCAAAGGAGAATCTACCTTTTCATGTGAGCTTCTAGTGAGGCAGAGATACAATAAATTCTTTTTCTAAAACTGCTTTTATTTTCTGAGTGTGTAATTGGTGCAGTTGCCATAGGAATGTTACTTGATTGCCAAAGCGAAGGGAATGGTCGGCCAAGCCATTGATCTGCTAATGGAAATACATGAACCTTTAAGACTTATCAGCAAGAGCTATTGTGTATGAAAGAAATTTTAAATAAATGCATTTAATAGGGATTCAAGGAAGTATTATTCAATTTGCCCTATCTTTAAGTATAGAAGCCAAGATAAAGATCCCAGTAATGGGAAAGTTACAGTGTTACAGGGTTCTTTCCTTTAGAAGTAAATAACTTGTGTACTTTTTTCACTTGCAATGCGAGTAACTTTTCAACAATAAAATTGAAGGGACACCAAATTTGTGTGAACTGAGATTCCTCCATCAGTGAAGAATGCTATTTGAAAAGTGGAAAGCAGAGCCATCCTCTGCATAAAAATAAACAAAATAACAAATCCTGTACTCTCCCAGTAGCTTTCTCCACAGTACGCTGAAGGTTTTCAACCACCATGCTTTTCCTCCCTGCCCCCAGTGCGATGTAAAGGTTGGAATTTGGCAGGGGGGATCTGCAGAGAAATTCCTTTTCCTTCAGTTGGCACTGTGGTCTGGTATGACTGAGGCTTCAAGAAAGGGTCTCCGAAAATATTATGTAAATTCCAGTCCTACTTTGTTCCCAGCAAGTGCAGAGCTAAG